TAGCAAAACTACTGCTGTTTCCACTGAATGAAAAACTGCCAACACAAGAAGGAAGAATGAATTCATGCTGGTTGGTGCAGTTTCTTTTTGTCTTTCACAAACTGCAGAGATGAACTCATGTGAATGAACTCCCACTACAGGACTGTGACCAAGCTGGAAATGGGCTACATTTCCTACTCCCCCTTTAGAAAATGTTTTGTTCATGTTCTTTCTTTACTAGCTTGGTTGCTCTGTTCCCATTTTCTCACATACCTTCCTTTCCTTCCCACCTCAAAAATGTACCTGTTACAAATTTTCCAATCTCAGTGAGATTTTGACACGCAGAAAGGTAAAGGTGTGGAATGAAAGCATCACAGAGCTGATGCTAGCACTGACAGCTAGCAGAACAGCCCCATTTAGACAACTTGATAGCACTAGCCTTTAAGACAACTATTGGCTTCCAAGCCTAACTGGAATAACAAGAAATCCTTGCCCAAGTTCGAAAGACCTACCAAATTTCCAATCCTGCTTAAATCTAGCATTCGAAGTAATGATCAGTTTATGAGATCACTTTCACAAATAATAATGATAAAAAGGCAAACTAATTAAGGCAAGCCCTTTGCTGACAGAAATTCCTGATCCTTCAGTGTGGTAACAGTGAAGCAACAGATCAATTAAATTAATCTCTTGTTGATAGAGTCCCTTGGAAGGCAGTCCTGGAAGGGCAAATGAGTCCAGGAAGGCTGGGCGTTCTTCAAGAAGGAAATCTCAGAGGTGCAGGAGCAGGACATCACCATTTGCCAAAATAGGAGTCAGCACATTAGAAGACTGGCCTGGCTGAAGGGAGAGCTTTGACTGGGACTTGGAGAAACTAAAGGAGAGTTTATGGCCTTTGGAAGAAGAGGCAGGCAATTCAGGACTAAAAGGATGTTGTGAGGTTACACAGGGAGAAATTAGAAAGACCAAAGCCCAACTAGAACTTAATCTGGCTACTGCTGTAAAGGACAATCCAAAATGTTTTTTTAAATACATTAGAAACAAAAGGAGGGCTAAGGAGAATCTCCATCCTTTACTGAATGTTGGGGGAATGTAGTGACAAAGGATGAGGAAAAGGCTGAGTCGCTTAATCCCTTTTTGCCTGAGTCTTTAACAGCAACACCAGTTGTTTTTTGGCTACCCAGCTCCACCAAGCTGGAAGATAGGGAGCAGAATGAAGCCCCCATAATCCAGGGGGAAACGGTCAGCGACCTGCTGCAACACTTAGACACACGCAAGTCTATGGGGCCAATAGGATCCCCCCAAGAGTACTGAAGGAATTGTCAGAAGGGCTCACCAAGCCACTTTCAGTCATTTCTCAGCTGTCCTGGCTAACCAGGGAGGTCTCCATTGACTGGAATTGAGCAAATGTGACTCCGATCTACAAGGAGGATCTGGGGAACTACAGGCCTGTCAGTCTGACCTCAGTGCTGGGGAAGGTTATGGAGCAGATTGTCTTGAGTGCCATGACACAGCATATACAGAACGGTAAGGCGATCAGGCTCAGTCAACATAGGTTTGTGGAAAGCAGGTCCTGCTTGACTAACCTAACCTCCTTCTATGACAAGGTAACCCCCTTAGTGGATGAGGGAAGGGCTGTGGCTGTTGTCTACCTAGGCTTTTTCAGTGGAGCCTTTGACACTGTTTCCCACAGCATCCTCCTGGGGAAACGGACAGCTCATGGCTTGGATGGCTGTCCTGCTTGCTGGGTAAAAAACTGGCTGGATGTCCAAGCTCAAAGAGTGGTGGTGAATGGAGCTCAATGCAGTTGTCCCTCAGTCAAAAGTGGTGTTCCCCAGGGCCCAGTATTGGGGCCAGTTCTGTTGAGTATCTTTATCAATGATCTGGGTGAGGAGATTGAGTGCATCCTCCCTAAGTGTGCAGACAACACCAAGTAGGGCAGGAGTGTTGATCTGCTTGAGGGTAGGAAGGCTCTGCAGAGAGATCTGCACAGGCTGGATTGAGCCCTGAGGCTGACTGCATGAGGTTCACCCAAGGCTCAGTGCCAGGTCCTGCACTTGGGTCACAACAACCCCATGCAATGCTACAGGCCTGGGAAGAGTGGCTGGAAAGCTGCCTGGCAGAAAGGGGCTTGGAAATGTTGGTCAACAGCCAGTTGAATATGAACCAGCTTGTGCCCAGGCAGCCAACAGCATCCTGGCCTGTATCAGAAATAGTGTGGTCAGCAGGGCCACGACAGTGATCATCTCCCTGTACTCAGCGCTGGTGAGGCCACATATCAAATCCTGCGTTCAATTCTGTATCCTTCACTACAAGAGAGACATTGAGGTGCTGGAGTGTGTCCAAAGAAAGGCAACAAAATCAGTGAAGGGTCTAGACCACAACTCTTACGAGGAGCAGCTGAGGAAACATGTTGTTTAGTCAGGAGGAGGCTCAGGGGAGAACTTACAGCTCCCTACAACTACCTGAAAGGAGGTTGCAGTGAAGCGGATGTTGGTGTCTTCTCCCAGGTAACAAGAGATAGGACAGGGGGGACAGGAGGAAATGGCCTCAAGTTGTGCCAGGGGAGATTTAGATTGGATATTTGGAAAAATTTCTTCACCCGGAGGGTCGCCAATCACTGGAACAGCTGCGCAGGCAAGTAATGGAGTTACCATCCCTGAATGTATTTCAAAGATGTGCAGACATGGAGCTTAGGGATGTGGTTTAGTGGTGTACTTGGCAGTGTTAGGTTAATGTTTGGACTTGACCATCCTAAAGGTCTTTCCCAGCCTAACCAATTCTACGATTCTATAAATGAGGGAATGCTGAAATCTCCAGCAAGGGCACAAACACACAGCCCTCAATTTGCTTTAGCAAGTTCCTGTATCCTGGCTTTTAACTTCCAGTCCTTTTTTTTTTTTTTTCCCCACATTCTTCTCATCCTCCTTCATCAGAAGTACCAAATGTTGACATCGGCTGTGTATTTCTGCTCTGACACAGTAGAACCTCTGGTGGAAGGAAGATGTGACTGTCACTATTCCTCTAGCTCACAGCACCAGTATGTAATTCAAGATGTCCTGGTAAGCCAGCAGTTACCAGCTTTTTTTGTATCAAGACTCACTACTACACAAAAGAGAAATTTCTTGTCTTCCTGCTTTCCTTCTGCTCACCTATGAAGAAGCGGTCTGTTAATGGTTGGATGTTCATTACAGGTAGATCTAAAACTTTATGGACACAACCAAATACTGTATGAGTCTTTTGATGGACTTTAACTTTGGTTTTGGTACAAGACACACTGCTAACCAGACACATCACTGAAACTGTGCAACTGCAGGAACTTAGTAGTATAAAACCTAACCATGCTGAAATCAGTGGCGAACTACTGCTCAATGACCATGACCTGCCACCGCTACTTCGGAGCAGATACTACTACCCAATTTCTGACACTCCTGTGATTTCTGCTTGCCATGCTTGCTTATCAAAAGACACTCCTGTGTATTTTTGTCAGCATGAAGAAACTGCCAGGGACTAGAGGACCGTGGCAGCATCTGATGAGTTTGGTGATAAAGCAGACTGGGCTTGGTATTAAAACAAAACAATTCCCACACACCCCCTGAAGACTGGGAACAGGCCACCCTTAACCAAAACAGCCATCTGCTAATGTAGAGTTAAAACAGACTTAAAGCTGCAGCTAATGGTCATCTTCCCTTTTCTTCATCCTGTGATCTCTCAGTGGTTGCGCAGACCATTCAACTGGTCCATCATTAGATGTCAACAAGGGTTAGGCTGGCTGCTGAACTTCCAGATGAGGCAACAGAGCAACAAGAACCCTTTTCCCCACCCATCTTTCCATGGCACACTGCAAATGCCTACTAGGTAGAACAAGGACATAAACAAACTTTTTTTGACTGATATAAAAGTTGCAGAGATAAAATTAGGAGAGAAAACCCTCTTCGGTCTCATAGTACAATGTATGCAAAGCAAACAGGTTTCCTGAATGTTTTATGATTTCTAATGAATAATCAAACACATTCAAACACTCTTACATGAATATGTCTTTCTCAAATTCAGTAATTTTTAATTTTTGGTACAAGAGACTGGGATCCCAATCTACCTATATACAAACAGCACAGAATTACAAGAAGAAAAGTTTATCTAAGTCAAATTTCTTAATTTTTATTAAATTCAAAATTGCAGGAAAAAAAATCACAAGTTTCTAAGTACAAATAAAAACAAATAGGCTAAAATAAAATAGTTGTCAAATTAAAACTCATTTCCATAATTTTCCTCTCCTTGCTACTGCCTACAGTACCATCAGAAATCCTGCAAGCACTTTAGAAACTGATTTCATCTTATCAATGATAGTAAACCTAAAGTTTACTATGTAAAAAAGCAAACCATTTAGGCACAAGGTGGCAGAAGACATAAGCACAAATATCAACCATGTTTCTTTACTTTGCCTGTTGAAATCCAGGTGTGCTAAGGACCTGCATGGTATTGTATTCAGAATGTCAGAGCTTACTCAGTGAAATAAGGGCTCATCTTTCATTTATTTATTAAAATGTTAACAGTCTGCTGCGTCTTTTTTCCTTCTAGAAAACAGAGAGAAGCTGTTTAAGTCAGTGGTATACTTTACTGGTCAATCCCAGTGTTCTGGCTAGAAGAGTGGCAGAAGTGACAAAATGGGTTCCAGCACCAGAGAATGAGAAGCAGAGAAGCTGTAGTGTGAAAAAGACTGGTTCATACTTGTGTTCCCAGTGTAATTAATAGTTTGGTGACCACCTGCTAAGATAGCATGACAAGCAGTCACATGCTGTTTGAAGGCATCAGCTGGGCTAGGTCATCAGCTGCTCTCCCAACAGAGCAGTGATCAAGGTGAACAACTAACATCTGCTGCTTTTCTAACTACACCTAAAGGAACTGTCAAACTGAAAATTAAATCATAACAAAATTAAAACAAGTGTTGTTCCATAGTCCAGATTCTACTTTTTACCCATCATTTGATACTTGCCATTCTAATAACAGGTGCAGTTCCACTGTCATTCATAAATACAAAATTTTATTTGCACTTCATTAGTTTAGAAAGACCACAAGGTTTTTCAATACCACAACATTCAGGACACACCAAGTTATTCAAATATGTAACTATATTTACCACAGCTAAACTAAACAGTGCATTTTAATAAAAGATATACCAAAGATATAATTCACAAATTCATTATCAGACCAAAACCTAACACAGTATTTGCTTGATGGGAATAATTTCCATCATTAGGAAAGAAAATAATTTTACCTTAGACTCCCTTCCCCCCAACCCTACAGATGTCCAGACAAATACACATATATATTCCTTACCACAGGAAAATGTATCTTTTTTTTTTTTTCTTTTAAGAATTTGTCTAGGACAGCAGCATTGCTTTTTATACCTTCTTTTAGAACTTGAATATATCTCCATTCTTTTATTGAAACTTAATGATTCTTGCAACCACGTTTATGCTTACGCAGAAAATTATATATGCTATCTCCGAGTGCAATCTTAGATCTGCACCAGATGTGATGTTTTGGTACACAAAGAAAGGGTGCAGCATTAAACAAAATAAATAAAAGACTGCCAAAAAATTAAACTTAGCTTTTCAATAAATCCAGTCAGCAGAGGATGCTACAGCCAAAAGTGTTTTCACTACATTAAAAGGAAAAATAATGTTGATTATGGAAGCTTTGTACATAAAGTCCTCGGTTTTTAAAAAATTTGTCTTTAAAATAGTTAGCAAAGCACCATATACTTATCTTCATACCAGAAGAGCTTCTGCCTGCCTGTTTATAATAACAAAGAACTATTACAACATTTATGTCAAGAATAGGTATAGATTTAATTTCTCCTCCTCCTCGATCAGAAGTGTGGTAAACCCCCCACCGACTGTACAGTATTTATAACACTGGGGCAATGAATGAAACATCATTGTGAGGGAGAGGGGTAATAATTAAATGTTATAGCTGAATCCTATATCGGATCACATATTTGCATATTTACAAGTTAGTGTGTAGCTCTGACTCGAATAACAAAGTGCAACGAGAAACTGCCGAATGATTGTAGTGCAGAGTAGTACAGATACTTTCTTTACCCTCCTGCTCCTATTTTTCACTCTGTATGGAGTAACAAGTCAACAGCAACGGACATGTGGCCTTGGAGGAGGCAGTTCTGGTGGGATTTCTGGCTCTGGTTGCAGGGACAGGATACTGTTGGACAACTCATTTCTTATAACATCCAGTGGCATCTTAAAGAAAAGAAAAATCACCTGTAAACAGTCATCTGCAAAGAACTCGGCACAAAGAACTCATTCCAAGAGTTCATTGTCAGCCAAAGCCTTAACTGAAGAATTTTTTGGTTTGTATGTGTGAAATACATTCGAGTAAGTTGTGTTAATAATTTCTTTCAGAAAAAAGTTACAAGACATTGGTGAAAATAAAGCCACTTCCTAAACTAATTACAACAAATCACAACAGAACTGCCCACAAATGAAAGCAGGCAAACATACAGTCAGCTGCTGATATATATGGAAGTTATTGCAAAGAGAAAGTATAACAAACAGGAGATGTTTACCAAATTTGAAAGCAGTATTTATTAACAAAAGTGTTCAGCAGAGTCTGTGAATTACATCATGCCCACTATGTATTAACCAAAAATTTCACCTGACTGTGCACTCGCCCTCTATGTCCTCCCAACAAGTACCAGCAGTCACTATTTAAACACTGACCGTTTTTGTGGTCAGAGGTGCTACCACCTCTATATATTTTACCTTTTTCAGAATGTCATCAACAAGTTTTAGAAATATTTCATCCACATTAAAATTATCCTTGGCACTTGCTTCACAGAACCGCATCCCAGTTATTTGCTGTGCAAACTGATGGAAAAGAAAACAACTACATGAAGATATGCACAAACAGCAGCAAACAGCAAAACAAGCACTCCTCATAAAACCTTTAAGGAAAACAAAACCCACAACCTTCCTCAAATCTGTGACTCAAGTCTAATTCAATTAATAATTCTGAATCTCCAAGGTACAGCAAATATTGCCACATGCAGATAATTTTCACTTAAAGTCTGCTTACTGGAAAAGTGTGCTGCATTTTTCCAGACTTAAGTCTGAGAAACTCACGTCTTCAGTTAACACTGATTACTGCAGACTGCCAAAAAGTAGGAGCTTTTCAAAAGAGTTAATCTCAACCTTATTATTAAAATTCAGAAATGAGAAGTACAGATGTAAGAATTAGCCTTGACTCCAACAGATGACAGGTAGCTGAAGTAAAACGTTTTGAGTATGTCCATATTGATCGTGTCCTGATGAAGATGGTGCTATGAGGGTCACACTAAGACATACCCTCTCGTCAGGCTCCTTACCACTTTGGGAGTTGGAAGAGAATAAAAGAAACATGAAAAGGTGAGCTAGAGTAATCAAGCAGGACTGTTGCCTGTCCTAAGATACTACTGAAAAGCAACTGTTTGGAAGAAGGCTCACAAAGATGTGCTGACCATTTGTGAGTCAAGTGTCCACTATATAATCTTTCAGAGCCCCAAAAGGAGTATCCCCTGAACTACTGTGTAGTGCAAGCCAACTTGTAGTTTACTCTTTCTTTGATCTAAAGGCATGCTGCTCCAGCAGTAACACATATATATGCACATTCCATAGAAGTAAATACCATATGGATTTTGACAGAATGCCACCACTCTCAATATGCTTTTCAGGCTTAACAGTCTGGATAAGACTAGCTATGGACCATCAGCAACAACTCCACAGCAGTTTTGCTTCTAATAGTAGCTAAGAATTTGGTTAGACCTGTTCTTACCTTTTCTCCCTGCTGCCGAGTAATCTCTCGATCAACTTCACAGTCCAGTTTATTGCCAACTAACAGAAGCTCTGCATCTTCTGAAGCATACTGCAATTAGAACATTTTTAATGAACTAAATCTAGAAATGTAAAGATTTTGTAATGTAAACACAATATGAAAAAAGGGCAACTTCCCTACTAAATAAGGAACCACACCTATACAGTTTATATGTAAACATTCTTTCCAAAAGGTATTTTAAAAACCTTCAATTTTTAAATTCCACTTTTAAAACAAGACTTTCGAACTAGCTGTTCTAGTTTATCTAAGAATGAACAGAATGACCTTATTTCACAGACAGGAAATAAAACTCACCCCCAGTGAACAGGTAAATGAGCAATGTTACATATTGCCACTGAGACTTACAACTGGGACAACTGTAGTTCAAGGAAGTGGGAATGGACAACCATTTTGCAACATCAATGCATTAATGTTAACTTCTGGATAAAAGAATCTGCTGAAAATTAGTCAGCATTAGTTTAACAATCCTGTATCAATGCTGTTACAAGTCTTACAGAGTACTTTTGAGGAAAAAATGGCTTCTTACAAAAACTACATAAAAAGAAAATACTTAAGGCCTACCTTATCAATCATTTTCATCCATTTTGGTAAATCGTCAAATGTTTCCTTCTTGGTGATATCATACACCAAAATAATTCCCTTGGCACTTCTGTAATAAGCTGAGGTAATGCTGTTGAATCTCTCCTGACCTGCTGTGTCCCTAAGAAGCAGCAGCAAACATTGGCACAAATATTTCACCAATTCGCAAAGTACAGAATAACTGTTTACATTTTAATAAAAACATCCCCACACTCATTAGACACTCTATCTCCAAGATTTCCTCCTATATGTGGGAATTTCAGGGAAAAAAAAATTAATGGAGCAGCACTTTCAATCACAGAAAGTTTTGTATCTGGACTACTTATCCCATACTACACCAAGAAAGGCCACCGAACAGTTCTACATGTGGTGGTGTCCAGCAGATGAACCTGGTTTTGTGTTGTTGGGGTTTGTCTGTGAGGTCTTTATGTTTGTTTGGGGTTTTTTGTTTGTTTTGTTTTAATAGCTCTGGAAAAAAAAAAAAAGAAAAAAGAAATGGATACATGCTTATCAAACACAGCCAGACATCCAACTATAAAATGAGCAATGCATTGATCATTATGATTTGAGCTTTCAGAGCCTTTCTGGATCAACCACAGCAATTCAACCATGGTTCTAAAACTAATGCTACTGGCAAAACTGAATGAAAAGGGTGAGCAACCACTATGTCATACGGTTTTTGAAAGTAGATGCCTGGCTTTCATGCATGCATCTACTAATGCAGGTGTTCAAATAACATTTCCATTCTCATCTTTATCAATGTAGGCATTTTGGACAAGGTGTATTTACTCTGGAGGCTATTTTCCAGCAAGGACACCATGTTGCCTGTACTAGCTATGGCTTATGTTCCAAAGTAGATGAGACAGAAGGGCTATATTTTACTGAACCATGAAAACCAGTGAACTGCTTTTAATCATATCATCAAGTCTACTTATGGAAGACTTTTGGCAGTTACACTAAAAAAAAAAGTAGCTGGTGCATAATCCTAAGTCTTAAAATGTGACTGGTATCACAACTGGAAAGTAAGTTATATGGTGCCCCAAAGAGATCAAGCATTTGCTGCTTGAGTTCAGCCTCCAGAGTCAATGGATAATTTTGAAATTTCACTGTTAGAGCAAGCCAAAAGATGGACCAAAATTAAGAGTGGTGAGGGAAAAAGTTCATGTGTGTTGGCACTCAAAAGCTTAAAAGGAACTCTCTTCAGCAGTCACATTTTAGACAAAAGGAGAAGGAGGATGAATTTGGGAATGAGATTAACAATGGAGACCTGAAACACTTGTTACCAAAAAAAAAGTAATGCTCACAACATGCCACACTGATTGTCCCGAAGAATTAATTCTTTTAAAGCCTATTCTCAACAAGCAGTAGAATAAAGTGCCACGAACCTATCTTGATCTTCAAGTCTTTATGAATTTCAACTAAGCAGGTTTGTAAGTGGAATACTTTCTTCTGAAATTGCCACAAGTGTACTCAATAGCAACAAATTTTTGCAAGTGATTTCACAAAGTAAAGCAGTGTTGATAAGAAACAGATTTGAAACCTCTGCTTCATAGTCTGTAGAAAAATATTGACTAATACTTCACTGCAAGCCAATGGCATTGCAGTAAAGGGCAGAAGAGAATATATCACATCCATTTTTATTTTAGTCAAGTCCCATTCTCTACTCAGAACTTCTGAGTTACATTCATACAAATATTTGGGACTCTACAGAGGGTGAGAACAAGCAGCCCGTTTCCGTAAGGTCAGACCAACTTTGGGTGGTTAATTGGTTGCTTTCTTATCACTAATGAGGCATTTTTATTAAAGCAATGCAAGTTCTGGCAGCTGAAATTACGTATGTAAGTATTACTCAGAGTTAGGAACTCTACTTGCTCTTCCATCACTTCTTCGCCATAGTCAGATTTAATTTTTGAAAGGTGGTTTGGATATTCATTCCATTAAATATTTAAAAATTCTAGTACGAACTGTTGATTTTCCACATATGGATAACATTGCTTTAGTACTTATGAACATACTACTCAGAATAAAGATCTTGTAGAGCAGCCCCTGTTATGTCTTGCTAATCCATCCTACTGATCAAGCATATTAAGGATGAGATCCCTTTAGTTCCATCATTCTGCAAAGACATAACTAGATGGCAGGTGGAAGGGCATATCTAATGTGGAAGAATGCATCAATCCTAGCTTGGGCCAGAATGATGGGAGAAGAAAAATGTTCCTCCCCCCCCCTCCCCCCCCGACCAACCTTCCTCATTTTCTCTGTGCCCCTACCAGAACACAGAGTCACCTGGTTGTGCCTTTGGGTCACTGCTAAGGACTTACAGCAACTCCATCTCTGAGAGTCTACCAGATCACTCAGTTAATACATTAGAAAAACAGAGGAAATAAACACACCAATGTTCAACTACCCTCCCTGAAGACAGTCATCATCACTGGGTAAGCCTAGGGTAAGCGACAGAGCCAATCACGTAACATTACTCTCTTCCACTCCAGCTATCTCCAACTTCACGTTTCCCAATTCCTGCTGAGTGCTGTATCTCCAAGTCTACCTGGTACTATCAGCCTTTCCTCACCCCACAGCACCCTGAAGCTCTTTAAGTTTATAGTATTCCCAGGCTGTTGCTCTTCTCAGCTGTTGTACCCCCAGGTACTGCACTCCCCTTATGTAGGTTGTTCACACAACCACCACATGAAACTTGTAGGCTGGCTTGCTGGCTATGTGAGACACACCACATACTGTGGCCAGCTTAAAACACCCATGGACAGACAGCCTGGCTAATTACAGTGAATTATGGCTGACTTTCTTGGCCTTACTTTAAGTCATTGACTTCCCCACACTTCATGCAACCAATGCCTCTATTGATGCAGCAAGTTTAAATGAAACCAGTCAACAGGTTTCTGACTGTAAGAATGATAACCCTTTCCTTTGGAAAGTGGAAGAAACTAAGATGAATTTGTGGTCTCTAACATTATATAACATTCTACAAGCCTTCAAATAGTAAAGTGAAAATTGGAAAACTATTTCTGCAATAATTTTAGAATGCAACCCCAAGCTACCTAAATAAGTTGCTGTTTGAGAAGAGTATCAAGTTGATCCTCTATGTGGCAAATCTCATCTGCTAGCAGTTCCTATCTTATTTTTTCATAAAAATGTGCAGTAAATTCTTCTAATATTGAGTGAAAAAAATACAATCCCTAATACAGAGCTATTATTAAAAGCATATCTGACTTAAAATGCCTTCTTTCCGTGTGCAGTGCTGGAGCAACTAAGTTAGTTAAATCATTTTCATTGATGTATTACACTCCTGCTGCTAGAGTGTTTAGTAAGAATAGCTATTGAAGCACTAGCTGAATGCTGGAAAAAGAGTTGAGCACTATTTAACAGTAAGCAACTTCATTAATTTCATAAGTGATACTAAGGGCTGCTAGTTCTTTATTTGCTCTGGTCAAAATCAACATAACAGAATAAGGCAGTTCAATTTAATTCAAACTCAAGAAGTCCAAATAATAAAATACTACAACTTGATCAATGCTTCTGTTGTCACTAAAAAAAAAACAACCAGACAACAGATTACCCCCTTTTTAATGCTAAAAGCAGTTTTCTTTTATTGAGTTTTTAAAAACAAATTGTTCTAATGGAGAAACACTGGTATTTCTAAATTGTAATCAGAAGCAGTGAATGACTCCTTGACTATCTATCATCTGCCATAATAAAATCCCACTGTATGACTGTTTTTCTGCTTCCAAAACAGAAACTAGACACCACTCCAAAAATACAAACATTACACTAAACAAAAGCAAATAAAGAAAATACACAAAGACCATTTTCAAGTGTTGACACATCATATTCACAGTAGTTTAGACTGCAAAAAGTACAATACAAATACAGTTGATCTTAATTAAAATAGGTCTGGATAATTTTTGCTTTACATAAACGGTCTCTCTAAATGAACACATGGACAGACTCAAAACTGGAACGGACAAAACAAACACAAGGACAGACTCAAAACTGTCTTTGGCTCTGAAGTTAAATCAGTTTTTTATGACTGGTGGTGTGAAGTGGCAATAGAAAGGAAATTTTTTAAAACACAGATAAAAATTTAAGACTAATTTAACACTTCCACATTCTCTGTGCTTTTATGGACCCTACAAGCAGTATTTTTTTTAATGTTGTAAAGTTTAGAGGTTGATTCTAGCTGTCAAGCTGAGCTTTCTTCCTCCCATAAAACAAAATTACAGCTAAGATCTTTTTTCTATATGAAATTATTTCAGAGGACCTGAACAGAACGAACTACATTCTGTTTTATTCCAGGATAGCTGATCTTTTCCTCAAACTACTCCTCACCCCAGAGGTTTTCCAAAACAGTAACTGTCCATTAGAAAAAGCCAAGCTGTCAGAATGTGAACATTTTATGAGAAAGAACCAATTTAAACAACCTTCAGAAGCAAATCAGAACTCCTTCCTTGCCAGGTCACTGGCTTCCTTGGCATTAAACCTGCAGAGGTACCAGAGAGCCCCTTTGGCTCCCCAGCGTGGAACCAGGTGTAGTGGTAGGGAACCACAGCTTCCAGCAACCACATCCTTTCATAGGGGAAGCCAGAAGTGACAGCTGCTTCTTTCAGCCAAGTGCCCAAAAGACCCAGATAAGGGCACAGTCAGACACACTACTGTCCTGCTGAGCAACTGCCAGCACACCTATTCTTCAAAGCATCAAAGGGAGGTTCCTATTATTTGGCCTAGCATGCTTTGGAAAAACACTGACTGATTCATAGATGCTCTTACTCACTTGGTCACTGAAGCTATCCAATAGTTGTTATTACTTTAACCCACAGCCTGAGCTGCATGCATGCAAATTTCTTACAGAATATATGAGCTTGTTTCAGACAAGAACTGCAATGTGAAAGCAAATTTACTCTATTTACGACTTCTGGCAGCCCAAGGTGCACTACTACTGTTCCAGGTGGCATAGAAAATATGGACGCTACTCTGTGCTCTCAGTGCTGCTCTACCATATTTCATACTCTAAGGAGCAGGATTATGCTCCTATCATAATATTTCCTGACTGAAACTCAGGGACCAGATAGGAATAGGTAAGCTAGAGGTGAAAGCAGATGACTCTGTGATCCTTAGCGCACAATATTCCATCAGCAAAGGGATACAGGAGACAAGACCAATTTGTATACTACTCTACTAACAGCAGCAGGTGTGAAAGCTGCTTTCAAAAGGATACCTTGCACACCTAACTGCTTGATACATGTCTGACTTGGTGTAAGTGTTTTACCTGCTAAATTGCTTTCCTCTTTCAATTTAACAATTGAAAGTATAATAACCAGCTGAGGGAACTGGGACTGGTTAGCATGGCGAACAAGGAGGTTGAGAGGTGACCTATTTGCTCTCTACAACTTCCTGCAAGGAGGCTGTGGCGAGGTGCGTTTTGGTCGCTTCTCTCAAGTAACAAGCAATAGGACAAGAGGAAATGGCCTCAAGCTGCACCAGGTTTAGACTGCATATGTGTAAAAATTTGCCCTGAGACAGTTGCCAAGCCTTGGAACAGGAAGTGGTCAAATCACCATCCCTGCAGGTATTCAGAAGATGAAGATGTTGTGCGTTTAATGGTAGACTTGGTAGTTTTGGGTTTAGAGTTGGACTTGGTCTTTTTCAACCTAAATGATTCTGTGATTCTATAATAGTAAGAGTTCATAAATAATCCCAACAACATACACAACATAATTCAGGATAAATTAGCAAAAGGAGTGCTTATCTAATTGCTTTTCCAAAAAATAAGTATGCCAAGACAGTTTTAAGGATAAGAAGAGCATTTTAACAGGCATTTTTAACAGTCGCTGTTGGAAAGAAGGTGACACTGACTGGCAGAACGTTGTATTAATGGATTTAATCATATTCTAAAATACTACCTTTTTATATTTGATTTTCTCCATCATTTTAGCAGGGCTTCACACACGAGTAATGGTCACATTTTAGCAACCTATAAATTTTCAGTTTTAAAAGTCTTCTATATCCTAGCATACTCTCAATATGTGGAAAATAATGGTTTAAATATATCTTTTCCAACAAGACATCACTCCTATAAAGTATTTATTCAACATGAAGAAATTGTTTGATAAGCTTAGCACATTTCATATCAAGAATTCATACCAGGCATACAGTAGCATCTCCATATCGGAATTTTTTTGTTACCTCTGTTAGCTTCAGTAGACCCTGGCTAACAATTGCTGGCTCAACTGCCAGCCTTGTGGTCACAGGTTTCCAAACAGGGACAGATGATGGATGAAGACATGCCACTAACATTCAAGTATTAGGTGACTGATGATACCAAAGATGAAGCAGCAGTTAACTCAGAGGGAAGCAAGACAGACACATGGTGTGACAGAGTTGATGGTGACCTGCCAAGAGGAGTTAGTAAGCTGAATTTACTGCATCCATGTAATTAATGAGAAACCACCAGAATATCCCAAAAGTGTAACAATGAGTATATTTAGCACTTCCTCCCCGCTATGAACTGCTAGCGACTTTAACAGTTTAACTACAATGCCAATTATGCATCACACACTGTTAATAAACCAAAGCTAAGCTTCTACACAGCAGTATGTAAGATTAATGTATAGAACATAGCTGGTTTATTCTCTCATAAAAATGTTTACGTATTGTATTACTTTGCATGACAAAGGAGCTCTTAAGCTCAATTTCTGAACTATAAAAACTGTATTTATCATTCACATGGAGAATCATTATCAGAAAACACGTAAAGTACTCCAGAAAGGAAAACTTAGCTCAGACTTTGAGCATTCTGTCATAGGACATCGGTATCAGTTAAGGTGTAGTCTTATTTGTATGGGATCATTTTACTTCTCAGTGCTGTTTTGAGTGGATATAATTTACCTAGTCTTGAATGCCCTTCACTTTAAAGTTCTTTAATATAGTTCCAAAGAGACAGCACTACCTAGAAGTTTTTTTAGAAAAACAATTTAGAAAACACTGTATAGTTGTTTTAGAATTGTTGTTACAATTAAAGTGAGTTTTAAACAGTCCAGAAAATTAAAAAAAAAAATAAAATACAACAGCAGCAGCGAAGTGTACTTTTAAATAGTGCCTATTTAACACAGTCACCTTTTGTTGTTTGTAGAACTCCTAATTCTGTTTCTTATGTAGATGATGTCATTCTTTTAGGAAAAGGAGCTTGAGACCTCTTTATCTCCCGTTATTCCCCTTTCCCCTCATAAAATTCTAAGAACTATTTGGTTTTGCTTAAGTCTTATGGGAATGGCAGAGAGGAGGAACAGGGTAAGAGCTAAACCAGCTTATTACAGTTAATAGTATTAGACAAGCATATTAATTCATGCTAGAACATAAAAATTAAAACATACTGCTGGTTGCACATTTGTTTTACTTACCAGATTTGTAATCTAATTTTCTTTCCTCTTAGCTCTACTGTTTTGATTTTAAAATCAACACCTATAAATAAAATACAGTAAACAGAAAAGGAGGAATAAGAAGCAAAACTAATGAGTTGGGTTTTTTTAAATAATTTTAATATCAACTTATAACAGTAAGGGTTTGCACCACTATAGGTCACATTAGGAACATCATGGGGATTTGATAATCACGATATAGTCTGTGAGCCTTCCAATTTGGCAGCATCACACCATAAACCTTCCACTTTGTGCAACACTTCCAGCAGCAGGTAAACCCAAGGGAACAGTAAAACAACAGGCAGGGTATGTCTGTTTCCTCCCTATTCACCTTGACTGTAAAGTACAAGCTTGCTCTCCCTCCAACTGGCATAGATGCCCTGGAGCCGTGGAGTGAACCAATCCCTCCACACCAGTTTTGCTCTCTGTTAAAAAGAACAATACACATCTGGTTTCCAAGCTGTGATGCTTAGCTTCTGTAAAGTAATTTAGCAGAAGTGCTGGAATAGTGGCTGGTTTATGAGGTTTGTCAGCACTGTCATTCTTAATTCTTTCAAATACATATTAGCAAACTGCTTAGATTTAGAAAGGGTATTTGACTTTCATAATTTCTTTTATACCTGTATGGTACTTTTATCCATCATCTCAAAACTCCAACCGTATTCTGAATGCATGCTAAATATAAGATAAAACCATGAAGACCTTGTTATACAGAAATTTTTTTCTTCTATTAAAAAAAAAAACAACCCAAAACAAACCTAGGCTGCCAATCAACAAGTAAGACATACTATGATCAAACAATACCTAGACACAAAAGATCACCACCTCAACTACAAGGATATTTCAGGTTATAAATGTCCTACAGTATCATAGTATTTGTAGATTGTGAACCTGTTGATTTTAGTATATATGTGTATGAAGAGTTTTGCTTCAATTCTTTCTGAACATCATCCCTCATAACATTGATAAATCAAATAAGGGGAAATAAAAAAAACAAGAGAACATGGTACAGACTGGGACACTTAAAACTCACACAAAAGTGCAGAAGCATAGTGTGAAACACTTTCACTACTTCACATACAATTGTATAGCAAGGATTGGGATGAAAGTGAAGAGGAAAGAGATTTTTATTTCCTCTAACTACACATTTTCCCAGTGTCTGCCCTTGGTAAAAACTGAGTGCCCCTGCTGATGTTGTTAGAATCAAGACTGGATTGTAACTTTGAAAAAAAGGAGTGAACTTGGCCCTTATGCAAAGCTTTTAAAAAATCCTAATAATTTAGGTATGGGGGAAAAAAAAAGGGCATTTTATATCCTGAAAACCAGGTACACATTGTTGACTTGACATATGTTTCAAAATTTTAGAAGACTGTTATGTCTGTAAAGTTGTTGATATGAGACAATAAAATGGAATAAGTTTTAAAAGACTAGATAGGCTTTACTGATTGAAATATAAAGGATACAGTCAATTCTATTTTTATCTCGCAAAACAGGTTGCCACTATTCAGCTAGACTAAATAAATGGAAGGATCACTGATCTTCATTCTCCTTAACAAAAATCCCTTTGAACAGCTTGCATTTGCACATCACATTGTGATAAAAGTATTTGTTATCACCATAACATTTGTCCTCCTTCTCCATGTCCTTAAAAGCATCTAGCATGCTTATTCACCAATTCTAGGAGAACTATTCAGGACATATGATGCTTATACTTCACTTACTAAAATTTATCCCATTCAAACCCTAGTAAGGTTCTTAGCCAGTACAGCAGCTAAAGAGTTAAACTGATTTCTACTATGGCCTACAATTTTAATGGCAATTTTCAAGTATTCACATGCAAATTGAAAAAAAAATAAATATAAAAACAGAATGATTATAATTTCAGGGCATTTATTTATCCTAATGTTAAGAAACAGTTTCTACACTTTTGAAAAACCACCATCTGTGTTAGTGTAACAGCAGAAGACAGTGAAATGATCCAGCTATGCTGTACTATCCAAAATATGGGAAATAAGAAAAGCAGTAATTACAAGAATTCTATTAATGAGAGCTTTTTTTATAAAGAGACACACAACCATTTCTACTGTTAAAAGTCTTCTCTACATAAATGCATTCAGACTATGAAATACAATCATAACTGTCATAGCTTTGTCTACAGCAAAGACAGGAACTTTACTTGCTAAAGATAAAATAGGTATTCCCTAAAACTGCTTCAAATCTCTCATTTCTTAAGGAAGTTTGAATTAACCACCCACATGTCTCACCTCCAATTTTCAATCCTGCCATTAACTCATATACAACATAGTGTACGATTTGCCTTTCATCTGAGAAGTTAGGTTAAAACAAAAAAATAATCTTGCTCTTCTCTCCCACAGAAACATAAGCATAAAGAAGGTGGGTACACAGGTGGGTATACTTGTCTTTGGCTAAAAATTACACGGGTAGAGGAGCTTGATCTAAGCAGAGAGAGAATATAGCTCTGCTGTTTAAAGAAAAAGCCCCACTGTCACACAGCAAAAGGAGTCCAAACCATCTCCAATCCAAAACTGTGTAATAAAAACCTTCAAAGAAATATCATGCAAGTTTCACTAACTCCACCAAAAAATATTTTTATTTCTGTAGAAGTGGTTTATATGAACCAAGGAACAAAAAGGTTTTGTTGCATTTTTTAAAAGGAAAAATAAATAATGAACTAGAGAGAAAATTCACCCATTGTAATAAATTTTCAACTTGGTACTTCCTGGGACTAGCAGGCACAACATATGAAGTAGAAAATACCCTATTTACTGAAGAGATGGTTTTAAAATATGTTAACAGTGTACTTATTTCAAAAGCAGATCTTTCTATTAATCATCTTAAAGTCAGACCATGAAACATTTCCCCTGTTAAATTTTGCAGTGAACAGGGCAAAGCAGTAACAGTTTTGGAAAAGCAGATTCTTCTACAGAACTGTTTGAATTTATTTAACACTTAAGTCAGATAGCTTGCAAGAACTACACAAAGGCTGCTCAACTGCTTTTCATAATAAGTAATGCTCTGCAAGCATCAACACAATACCAAAAGCTTCATGTCTGCCAATACTGAAAGAAAAAAATCTGGCAACTTTCCTTTTGCACATGAAGAAACAAATTTCTAAGCCCGTCAGGTTTCATTACCATTTTTCACCACAGACCTGCCAAAGGTAGTGCTTCGAGTTTACGTACAAATTAGTAATTTAATTAAAACAGCAATACAGTAATTTGTTTTCCACTTCAAGTATCATCTTGAGTTAAGAAAAAGTTCAACGAAACAGATTATTTAGCTTGATTAATGTCAGTGAAAATATCTCAATGACAACTTTCTCTATCCGTAAAATTACTCCAGCTATTAAAAACAAGATGAAGAACTGTTAATGTTCTCTGAAAGTCAGTCAGAAAACTAACACTTTCCATTATTATAGATAACAAATACTAGTCATACATGACATTCAGAGTTATACAACTGCACCTTTTCATTGTTTGTACTTGCAGTTGTAGAACAGAAGATTTGGACTAACACCTGAAAACTCCCATTTTTGTTGTGATGCCAACAATACTTTAAATAAATTCTTTAAAATCCTTGCTTCAACAAATTCTTAATACACAGTGCTCTAAGCAGGATACATGTTTCCCAGTATTGTTAAACCTAATTCTAAGACAAGTATAGGCAAATTGTCAGAATTTTTTCAGGTTTCATGCTGTTTGTAATGATAGTTGTAGTCCTTGCACAGTTACCACTCCCATAAGCCAGATCCCAAAATGCAACTAATACCCAAGTTTAATAAAATTGTGCATTTGTTCTGTGTTGAATCCCACCAGAGGCTACTTGAAGCTATATAGCTGCATGAACAGTGGTGTGCTAAGACACGTGCACTGACAGACAGGACTGGTATAACACTCTACTAGCACAGCTACACCAACATGTTTCGCACTGTGCACCTCCAGTTATGGTGGGTATCGCCTGAAAGGATGTCAACACCAGCTAACACAAGCCATTTAAGCATCTTGTGTCCTTAATTATGCAAACAGAACTGAGAGCATGGGTTTATATATAGTTCAACAAAACAGAGAAATCAATAATTACTGGTGACAACTGCATTAAATCTGAACAGCATGTCTTATAAAAAGAAAGGATTGTAGAAGGCTCTCTTCAGCTGCCACAACACCATCAAACTATTGCTGGTTTGCATGCTACCTAGTTTGCATTTTAAATGCCTGCTGGGTAATTTATTGTTAATGAATAACCAACTGTACCCATGTCAGTGGAGCCAACAAGTGCATGTGCTTATGATCGTACTGAAGTGTGTCCTTTGCCATGTCACAGTGATGCAAGGGGAATGAAAAGGCTTATTACAATCTCCCCTGCAATTACAAATTCAGCTTCCTATCTGCACATGAGACTTGCATGGACCACAGGCAATCAATGTATTCAGTTGTTCTAAAAATCACTGCACTCACACCATTAGTAAATCCAGATCACCACCTCTCTTTGTGTGATTTAAAGGTGTGCATTTCGGATGTCAGAATTTGACCCCCATTTTACTCTGGAAGAGGCCTGGGTGTGGGTTTTTTTGTTTGTTTTGGGTGGTTTGTTTTCTTTTTTTCCCAACAATCCAAACAGACAACCCATACACATGTAAGAAGTAATGAAAAAGGCACAAAAATACAGATCTCAGCCCCTATTTTGGGTTTCTGACTTTGTACCTGTTAAGTGTTTCAAAGCATACTTCTTCAGTTTGCCCTACCACTAGGAACTACAAATGAGTTACTTCCCTTTCTCCACAGGCTAGGTACACATCAAATAAGGCATTGAGTATAGTAACACTTATATGGTGTGTGTAAGGTAAGATTATTAGGTAAGGATTTTCAAATTTTTATACAAAGCACATTGTCTTTGTTAACAGCACATGAACTTTAGATTAAAAATGTGCTTCATGCAAATGAGAACATCTATTATGACAAGCACTCAGTTGAAACTGCTTTTTTTTTCCAGTGAAAATAAAGGGCTGGTAGAATAGAAGAGTTT